TGTATTACTGCCACTGATATGTACCTGATAGCGCTTCAGAGAATGGTGTGCAGGTCCCAGGTTCATATTATAAAAGCTGCCTGGGGGATTATGGACCATTCACAGACTTTCAACCTAGCATACCTCACAGGGTTGATTTGTGGATCATATGGGGGAGAGGAGAATAATGTCAGCTGCTTTGGTGTAGAGGTAGTTTGGTGTAGTGGTTAAGTGCGCGGACTCTAACCTGGGAGAATGGGTTTGATTCTCCACTCCTCCACTTGCACCTGCTGGATGACCTTGGGCAAGCCATAGTTCTGGCACAGCTGTTCTTGAAAAAGAGCAGTTTCTGTCAGAGCTCTCTCAGCCCCACCTACCTCACAGGGTGTGTGTTGTGGGGAGGGGAAGGGAAAGGAGTTTGTAAGCCACTCGGAGACTCCTTTGGGTAGTGAAGGGCGAGGTATAAATCCAATCTCTTCTTCTTCTTCGGTTCCCATTGCAGGGAAAGACTACCCTTAGGTAGAGGCTGCAGGGAGGGGGGAGGATATGTAAACCTGAAGACAGACAGGCAGATAAAGGTAGGCTGATGGTTGCCTGGAAAGGACACAGGGTTGCCAACTCCAGGTTGGAAACTTCCAGGATATTTTAGGGATGAAGCCCACTGAAGGTGGGGTCTGAGGAGAAGGGAGAGGAGGACCTCAGACAGATACAATGCCATAGACCCCACCCTCCAAAAAAGCCATCCCCCCTGAAAAAACACTGTTGCCAATCTCCAGGTGACAGCTGGAGAGCTCTTAAAGCTCTAGTGCTAATTCAAAGTGCTGGGGATGTGTTGCGTTCTGGCAGGGGATACTATGAGTGTAGAAAATGAATGTGGACAGAGTAATGTTTTGGAAAATGTTTGGGAATTATTTGGTGCATTTACCATGGGGCACCCACCTAGAGCCTCTGGCATTTTCTCACTCTGCTGGCATGAAAACCAATTTAAGGCAAAACAGAGATATGGAGACTTTTCCATCCTCCTTTGCATCAATTTGTCTTTGTTTTCTGTCTTTGTTGGCAACCCTAGGCCTTCCAGCACTCTCAGGGCCTCCTGACTGGCATTACTTCACTAGCTCTGGCTGCTTGCGCCTGTTCAGCAGGAGCCTCCCTATGAAAGCTGCCTGGGTGATTTCGGACCAACCACAGACTTTCTGCCTACCTTGCAGGGTTGCTGTACAGATCACAAAGCGGAAGAGGAGAAGTTCTGGCAGGAGACGCTATGGAGCAGAAGTCCATCAGTGGCTATTAGCAACAAGTGATTAAGACGCTGAACTGCAGGCTGTGAAAGGTCAGTAGTTCGAGACTTGTGTGCCGCATGATGGAGTGAGCTCCCATTTCTAGTTCCAGCTCCTGCCAACCTAGCAGTTCGAAAGCAAGAAATTGCAAGTAGATAAATAGGTACCACTTCGGTGGGAAGGTAACAGCGTTCCGTGCACCTTGATGTTTAGTCATGCTGGCCACATGACCATGAAAACGTCTTCGGACAGCGCTGGCTCTTCGGCGTTGAAACAGAGATGAGCACCGCAACCCTAGAGTCGGATTCGACTGGCTTTCGAGCAAGGGAACCTTTACCTTTATAGATAGGAACTCTCGGTCTGGGGCAAGTGATGCTCTGTATTCTTGGTGCCGGATCTCGTCGTATTTTCAGAATGTCGGAGTCATTCCAGATGACCAGAAAAAGTAAAGCTGGATCTAGCAGGATCTCGTAACCAGTAATTAGATGAATCTGCATGAGAATTTCTTTCCAAAACTATTTTATGAGTTCACAATGCCACCAGCAGTGTGCGAAGGATCCTATTTCACCACATTTCTTCCAGCATAGGGGTGAATGTGAAGATGACATTTTGGATAACGGTTCAGGAGTGAGGTACCAGCAAGTGATGATCTTGTACGATTGCAGTTTGATTGAGAATACGGGTGAGGACAGCCGGGACTTCCAGACATTGGACCATTGATCTCCAGTAATGGTAGTTTCACAATCCTTTTGCCAATGTCATTGGAAGATTAATGGCTTCCTTCCTTCTATGGGAATCAAAGTATCATAAATTGAGGCGATTAAGCCCTTGGAGCCATGTCCATCAGATTCTAAAAGTTTTTCGAAGGGAGTGAGAGGTATTCTCCAGATATCTAGTATGTTAAGACTCTTTAGCAAGTGATTCAGTTGAAAGTAAAGGTACCATGAAATGTTATTATCTATTTTTTGTTCCAGGACAAGTTTTGGGAACAAACCATCACAAGACATAATGTCTATAAGATGCACTACTTTAGCACATCTCCATATATTGGCTAAGTGCGTATCATTCCCCGGAGGGAACCAAGATTGAATACGGAAGGATGAAAAGTGAGAGCATTTTGATATTAGTATTGATTTGTATTGATCCCAGTTTTTCAAGATAGCCCTGAGGAACTGGTTATTCTTGGTTGAGTTTGGTTGGACTTGAGGATCTGCCCATATGGCTTTTTGGATCGTTAAGGGGTCAAGGAGAGGGCTGAACACTTTAACCCAATCAGGTTGGGTTTCTACACATAGCATTTTGATTATGTGAGTCAACAGCGATGTCTTGTAGTCAATGTTCCCTCTAAGCTGTGGAGTCTTGTGAGCAAAAATTCTACTTTGTGAGCTACTGACATTAAAGTTGTGAGCAAGCGATTTGGCTGCTGCATAAATCAGTTTGCTTTGGAGCCCTCCTTCCTGAGCAAAGACAAAAATGTGTGAGCCGGAGGCTAAAAATTTGTGAGCTAGCTCACACCAACTCAGCTTAGAGGGAACTATGCTTGTAGTATGTTGTCAAATCTGGGTAATTTAAGCCCCCTTGTGTATTACGCCCTTTAAGTTTTTGGAAGCTAATTCTTGGTCTTTTGCGCTGCCAGAGAAACGAGTTCAGCAGTGATTGCCAAGTTGTAAGATCTTTTGGAGGTATTTTGATGGGGAGTGTGCAAAGTAGAAACAGCAGCTTTGGGAAGATAAATGCTTTGATGAGGTGTAGTCTGTCCATGAAAGATAGCGGTAGTTTAAGTCTGTTTTTATATCTCGAATCTTGGCACGGTGATTTACAATCAACAGTTGAGATAGTTGTTTCAATATTTGAATTCCCAGATAAGATAGAGTGGTAATTGTATCGAAGGTGGATA